TTCGAAAAATGCCTCTGCTTTTCTTTAAAAAGCAATAGCATGGAATTTGCTAGTAGGGAAAAAAATAGATATTACATGATCAAATTTAGGAAACTACACAGCACTTTTTCTCCTGAAGTTAAAAAAAAATCAAATAAAATTTTTTTTAAAAAAAATTAAAAATGCTATTTAGAGTTGATAATGGTAGTAAAGAATCAAGCCAAAGATATCAAATCTCTAGTCAACAAATCCAAACTCTAAGCAATTAAGAATTCAAATGAGAGTAGAAGAAATAATACACTAAATAATAAAATGTTGTACTCGTAGGGAAAAGTTATTTACCATCTGTGTTATGAGAAAAGGGAAATTAAATCCCTTCTTGCATTAAAAAAATGCAAAGTCTAAACTTATTAAAAACTACAGAACATAATGCAGTACCACAATGGGTTAAAAAAAGAGTTGGCTAAAAAACAATGATTCCCATCTAAGCAGTCTCAACTCACACATTCAAAAACAAAAGAAAACAAAACAAAGAAAGCAAAACTTTGAAAGCTTTCCTAAAGTGCAGGTGTGAAAATTTCTCCAGCTGGGGCTAAAACAGAATTCATAGTATTCCCAGAACAACTGCGATGGCTCTGCCAGGCCCATTTGCTCAGGTTTGAGGAGTAAACAATTCTTCCCTCAAAAAACCATATAAAGACAATTATGAACCTCAAGAATCTCATGGTCACTAAGTTATTAAATTAACCTGTCCAAATGAAACTTTTAAATTAAAGTCTATCCCAACAGTATTAATTAACAATCTGTATGGAAAAATACTTCAAATACATGGAAAATATCAATGAAAACTAGACCAAGAATATATGTGTTCATGCAACTAACTGTACTAGAAAAACTATTATAATGAAACGTACTTTGTTCACCATGAGGCACCCTGTTCGGTGAAGAAATATGACCCAGGAAAGCATTTATTAAATATCTCATGTTAAAAACTAGAGATAATCAAATTGATTACTTTATGTAATGGCTCTGACCTCTTCTTACTTATATGTCATAAACATACCTATTATCCACATAGGCAAGTTTGAGATAGAATTTCACCTAACATCAGACAATTTTAATAGCAGTGATGGGGACCATTAAAAACAATGCTTCCTTTCACCCCTCACAGATTTCCTATAGTTTTACCTTACTTGTGATAGTATTATAATGTGTTATATATAACAAATGTAACCATCTTAACAGGCATTTTGTGAAACAGTAATAACCTTTTGTATTTTCTTCCAACAGGTACAGCCCTAATTTCCAAAAATAATAAACAATTAGCAAGATAGGTAAAAACTGTCTTAAACCCATCAGTGTTTATAATAAAAGTATAATCGAATGTAGTGATGCTCATCCTGGCATATTTGCAAGATTCTTAGAACACATGAGACTAGAATGGATTTCCACCTATCCTGAAAAACAAGAACAGCCTCTTTTTGATCCAAGGTGGACATTTCCTTTTGCCTTGAGTGTTGAGTGTCCATCTGCACAGCCACTTTGAACTTGGACATTTTCCCAAATATGTAGAATTTATTTAAAATCAGAATTATATGTTCGAATATATAAAGGCAACATGTAAATTTTTATTTTGGTCATGATCTACATTTATCAAAACTTTGTTTATGTATGTATGTAAAAGTGTGTTTATACATCCAGTTATCTCAAATTATGCAGCAATATAATATCAAATCAAATATCAAATACTGGATGACATTTATTGTTTCTTTTAGTCCAGAAAATATTTGGGGGAAATCTGAATTGATCTAAGTTATAAGGTTAATTCAATCTAATCCAAGAATATATAGATAAGTGGATTAAATGGTTATCAAAGTATTAAATAGCAATTCAGTGGCAAAGTGTTGAATTCCCCCAGCCCCCCACAAATAGCATTCATGCAGTTATAATACAAAGTTGACATTTTTGTGAGAACAAAATTAGGAAAGAACTGGAGATTTGGGAGGGAAAATATGAAGTTAAAATTTTGTCAATACAAAGTACATAAATTGATTTTGCTTTCCTCTTATTCTTCAAGTTCTCTACCAATCTTCAGTCAATAAGAGAAAAATCAGCAGAGCTGATAAAAAATACAGACATGCAATATGTAAACCTGGCCCTAGCATAGTTTTTCAAGCAATGTTGGGTCCAGGTTGTTTCAGAGTCAAAAGCAGAATTATAAGTAATTTAAACCCAAAGGCTTGTTTTACTCTATTTGTCAGTTCAATTAGAAAATGATAAATACAAAAATAGAAGAGACAGACTTACACTGGTGGAAACATGGCATCCTTTTTAGCAGGGAATGAAAGCTCTCATCTGTGTTCTTTATGCAACTGAGCTAACATAATTATCCCAAGAATAACAGGCAGCAACCTAAAGGACAGGCTCCATCTTACTAACCAAATTCAAGAAACTATAACCAAATCTCATTTTACTAATTATGGGTTGTTAGGTATTTCCAAATTGAATTTATTACTTTTTTTTTTTTTTTTTTTTTTGGCAGCATTCCTGGATAGCTAGTTATGGGAAATAATCCCTTTCCTTATTAGGCCAACTGTTTTCTGGGAAGAAACATTTGGTAACTGTGGTGAACTATAAACTGCTATTATAAGTTCCATTTCATAATAGTTTATTCTTACACAGCAAAGTATTGCAATTCTAATTCCAAATACTAATATGCAAGACAACCAAGGATCCTATCTAAATTCCCAGGTGGTTAATGTTAATTTTGGGTCAAAGCAAAGAAGAATGTCATACAATTGTTTTGAAAGAGTTTCTCAGGCTTTGCCTTAGTAATTAATAAGCTGACACTGCATACTCAATACTTATCAACACCATCAGTGGGGCTGCTTCCTTCTTGAGAAAACAGGTAAACCAATTCAAGGAGTTTTCTTTTGGAATAGACTGTAATATGCCACAAATATAGCGGTTCTTTTGGAGAATTTCATTCCCAGCAGTTGCATCTTGGTAACATTTAACAATTTCACTATTTTAACATTTTGAAATGCCAAAAAGAACACACTGATCCTGCAGCTAGGCTTATTAGAGAAGAGCAATCTCACAGGCAAGACAGAGAGGAACATAGTCCACTGGGAAAAGGATAACAGAAAAAGACAGAAAACAGTGGATAACAAACAAAGGCAAGCACTACCCCAGCGTAAGATCTGATTTTCACCAGATTTTAAAACTTTACACACTAAATTAATGTCACCTATGGCTTATTTAAGGTTCTAATCATAACAATCTTGTTCTATACACATATATTGATACTGTTAAAATTCAAGGGCATAAATATCTAATTTGCCTTCCTAACAACCAGTATGCAAGCATAGTAATTTTATTTTTGAAAGGTCAGAGCTGAGCATTTCCACCCTGTGGCATCATTTTACCCCTACAGAGACAGGAACACAGTGAGACCTCTCCCCATCAGACACTTGATACATACCTCAGCCAAGAGTGCTCTTTGCCTGGAGTGGGAGACATCTTTGAAACAAAAAGAGTCCGTTTACAGTAAGTTCTTCTGATAACCTAAGATGAGTTAGTTTTTAAAAATCTTGTCCAATATCAAGCCTCTTGCCCAACTGTGGTAACTGCCATCATGCCTACAAATAACCACCTGCAGTATGCAATGTTTAAAATTTTGGACATGCATGTATTCTGTCCATGTATGGATATAATCAGAAAATAATTTGTCTCACTAAAGAAACTATACACGGCTTTTTATTTTGATAAAATTGCTCTTAACTGAGTTAGAGAGCAGGGGAGAGGGAAGGAGTACCAGGGAAAAAAAGGGACAGAAAAATCAATCAGTATATCTTCCCTTGCAAACTGTCAGTAGGGGGGGATTAGAAAAGCAACACTTTAAATCAGATGAAGTCCTATGGGAACCTCAAAGGTTGGTTGCTCTGAGCTTCTCAATATTCTGCAAAATAGATTGATGTCAGTGGTGACCCCACCAATACTCAGTGTCCACTGAGTTTCCTCTAAGAAATTGCATTTCCTCCATTGTTCAGAAGATATTAACTTGGTAATAAAAATGAGAAGAAGTTATGGGACCCGTAGAGATATCTTTCAACACCTTTAAAACCAGTAAATCTGCTCTAATCTCTTATTGGATTAAATTCCCGAGGAGGCTTAATATATCAAAAAATCAACAACAAAGGCAAGAATAACACTTACTTGGAGGAAAAGAAAAAAATGGGAGGCAAAATTATTTTCTAAGTAACTGAACAGTTTTTATGTTTTTCTCATCTGTTCAGTTTGAAACCTTTCATAGCCTATTAAAATCAGAAACATGCATGTTGCATTTAAACTTTCAAATGACCAGTTTCTCAGGCTCACAGCAAACACGTTTGCATTCAGGAGGTGATCCATTTATGATCCGTGAGCCTTAACAAGAAATGTCCTTTAAAAATGCAACATCAACTTTATTCATCTAATGGCCAGTTCTGAGTTAAATGGCTCTATCAACATTCAAATGTAGGTATTAGTTAAACGCACATTTGTTTTTCCTCAAGAAGTGGCTCCTGTAGCTGTCCTTTTCTATATCAAAAGTGTGTTATTTAACACATATTTCATTATATGACATTTAATATTTTACTTTAGTCAGTTTCTAGGTCTGATGCAGAGATCGATGTATTTCTCTGGGAACACAGTTATTGATACGGTTTGTAGACATTAAGCACCAACCCAAGCGCCTGTTTTTCAAACATGCACAATTACACATTTTCTACAAACAGACACCAGTGCATACAGACAGCCAGGTGCACGCACACTGAATAAATAGTAAATGGTAGAAACCTCCAGAAGTAGCACAGACCACAGTTAACAGGCCGGGGGTACACAGCTAAGTAAACACCAACGCACGGTTCGCTCATACGGAATAGGAACTCCACGAAGGACACTTGGAGACCACACTGGTCAGTACCCGAGGGGGCGGGGGACGGAAAAGTCTTTCCAAACGTTACTCCGCCAGGTCTTACCCTTCGCATCCCCCGGTCCTCGGGGCAGGAGCTCCCTCGGCACCTCGCGCCCAGCTCAGGGGCTGTTTCTCCGCAAGGACGAAACGTCCCCCCTGACTCTACGGAGAGCTCAGCAGGGAGCCGAGGCGCCCCGCCCGGGCCAGGGGAAGGCACTGGCGCCGCGGGGGCCACGAGGAGGCGGAGGCGGAAAAGAAGTGGAGAAGGAAGGGGTGGCCGAGGAGTAGCAGGCGGAGGCGGCGCCAGCGCTGGGAAGAGGGCGAGGCAGGGTAGGGTGGACCGGGGTGTGCCTCCGGCGGTCGGTCACTAAGTCAGTCGGTCCGCGCGCCGGCGTCCCCTGCCTCCAACACCCGCCCGCGACAGCGACGGGCACTGCCGCCCCCTCCGCTCCCGCCGCCAGCGAGCCTCGCCCCTTCCCCGGGCTCCTCACTCGATCCTCCCGCTCTCCCCGCCTGGCCCGGAGTGGGGTTGCCCGTCTCCTCCAGCCCCGGCGTCCGTCGCCTCGCTCCGCTCGCGCGGTCCCTGCCTGTCCCTCCGCTCGCGCTCTGTCTCTGGCTCCCTCTCGCTCCAGTCCCATTTATGAAGCGCGGTCCCATCACGTGTTAATGAGCCTTTGTCCTGCCCTGGCAGCGACGGCGGCACAGACCCCGCCGGGGGAGCTGAGCGGGGAGGGACCGGCGCGCGGCGCCCGCGGCTCCAAACTTTGCTGGCGCGGGGGACCCGCCGCGGCGCCGGCCCCGGGGCCAGAGGGGACGAGCCTCTCTGCCCCACGTCACCTACTTCTCGTCCTCCTCCATGTCCTCCTCCGCGCTCCGGGGACCCCCGCTGCCATACCCCAGCCCTCCTCCCGGATACCCTCACAGCCCGGCAGGGCCAAGAAGGGGCGCGTGCCTGCGCCGCCCCCGACCCCGGGGCCATCAATCACGCGCGCCCAGGCAAAGCGCTTAGGGGACATGCTCGTTAATTGGTTCCACTATCAGCCGCCGTCTGCCTCCTGTGTGCACGGATCAAACCTTAATTGGTCTTTACATTTATCATGGTAAATTGCGAACCTACAAACAAGCCCCAGCCGCTGCTGCGGCCGAGAAGGCGCTCCCCTCCCCCCGGGGGCCCCGGGCGGGTTGTGGCGGCGGCGGTCGCGGTTATTTAGACATCTTTATCTCTCGTGGATTGGGTCGGGAGGGAGCCGCGCGGTATCCACCTGATGGAGCCACGTCACATCGGCACCGAGTTCGGTTCCTGGCCCTCCCCTTCGTGGCCGCCTTGGCGTTCGCTTTGTGACACCTTGCTGGGATCTGGCAAAGTCCGTCCCAGTCATCATCCCGCCCTCTTTTATTGACCTCCACTATCCTCCCGCCCCAGCCCAGAGCCCAACAGCAATGGTAACATGCCCGGGCCCCATAGTTGGAGGACGTGGCGAGAATCTGGGAAAGCGAGCCTCTCAAGGAAAGAAGGAAAATTGGTAGGCAGGAAGCGCAGATTGGTGGGTTCAAGGCCCTAGACGAGGGAAGGCTGTAAATCCGTTTTGGAAACCTCAGGCCAGATCATGGAAAGGCTTCCTGCAGAGGGCTAGTTCAGTCTTTGAAAATCCCCCTAGACGTTTTTAGGTTAGAAAAGGTATGTCCCATTTCCCATCAGGGAAGTGGCCATTTGAGATAGAGTCCACAGCTGAAATGATCGAGTTATACTAGGTAGAAAGATGGAATGGGTTATAAATAGTGAGCCATAGATGGAGGAATGAGACGGGGCTAGTGCTAGGCCTTACACCTGCTGCCTCAGGCAGGCTCTGCTCGCAGCTATCTTTACCCCCACCTCCACAGCAGGGACAGCTCTATCTGGAGATTTTAAGGGAGGGGAAGGAGGCTTCAACATCTGTTGCTTTTTTTTTTTTTTTTCTTTTAGAGGTCATGGTTATTAGATTTTACCATCACCTCGCACCCCTCACAGGAGGAAATATTTGCAAAATTTTGCCCTCCTTGTGACCTCCCTGACTCTGATTTCCCAAGTGGCCTGGTGACTTGACAAGAAATAACTTCAAAGTCTCTCCATCGCCTGGTAGTACAGGTTCTAATGATTGCTAGTTATCCTGATTTGATCACCACATATTATACACATGTATTGATATTCAATTCTGTACCCCAGAAATGTAATCAATTATCTTTCAATTAAAAAACTGTCAAAAAATAGAATTAAAAGGTATAAGAATGTTTTCATTAAAAAAATGATTGCTAGTAGTTAAAGGGTCTAGGCAATTCTTCTCTCACTGTGATGAGGACATCTTTCAGTCACAGGAAAAACTGGGGGGAACTGGGCTGCCAGAGTGTGTCAGGCAACAGGATTTCACATGGGTGCTGCCACCCTCCTCCGGAACCAGGCAGTGGGTGACTTGGAGTGCCAAAGCTGTTTAGCATCACTCAGATACACAATGCTGACACAACTTGATGGTGCCCCTTATAGGGCATTCTCCCACATATTGCTCTACCCCATTGGTAGTCAGCATCACATCTGGAGGTGGGACCCATTTACAACCTGGAAGATACTCCATGGAAATCTCATACTTCAACTCAGCCACATCAACTTTTGCTTTTTCATAAAGGGGAGCAATCTAATTTTCATAAGTATCTTTAAGCCATCCCAATCTCTTTTGATTGATTGTGAATTTCTTCATTGAATTCTATGAAATTCCAAGCAGAAACCCAGGATCCAAATGGCATGAAGTCTATTTGTTGATCGACTGCTGAAGTGACCTGTGGACAGAGCCAATCATGAAGAATCTAATCGAGTAGTGACTGCAGCAGCTATAGCTGTTTCCCCTATTACTCTGTTCTTGCTCAGGGTGGGGGGAAAACTGGAGCCTGACAACTGGTGAATTGTACTGACTTTCCATTTAGAGCTCAAGGATAAAGCTCACTAATGGAGTCAAAATTTGACTTGTGACCTGGCATTTTATCACCGCAAGTGAATGCTTTGTTGAAATCGAGAGAGTTATGTTTAGCAAGTACTGTTCTTGTGGGCATGCATGTACGTCTTTATTATTTCATCAGGCTATTGGACTAACAGTCAAAGAGCTTCTGTACTTTTCCCTCAAACTGGGGGAAGTGGAAAGGGACAGACAGCAGAGAGCATGAAGGCAAAATGCTCTTTAGTGCCTTGGAGTTCACATTTTGCAAAGCTTACCTTTATATGGGAGGAAATGATTTAGTTTCCACATGTGGTTGGCCATCCACTGTACTCCTGAAAGAGTCAGCAAGAATGACAAATGCCAGCTGTCAGCATCCCTATTAGGAATATTACGTTGAGGGTGCGTATAAATTTAACACAAAATGTTGAATGGCCCTTGGTCATTACAAACCTAGATTGAATTTGAATCCATGACCTTCTGGGGAAAGACCCTGGCAGCCCCATAGCAAGCTTCACTAGTCCCTTCAGTGCTAGGCTACGTGGTTTTTTAGATCCTTATCCTTTTAAAATTAGAACAGGGCTATGATGAGCCAATTTACTGCTGTTCTGTGTAATTTAGGTTATTCACTCAGTGAAATGTAGAGGATGAGAGCACAGTTAAGGCTGCATATTTCAACTGCAAAGAAATATCTTAATTTATGCCTGCCAAAGTGCTAATAGTTACAGTGGACATAGGATATTAGATAAGCACGTCTGCTTCCGTGAGAAAGGTGTTGATTTGAAAGGAGCTGTACTTTAAGGTTCTTTTGTATTGCCTCTCTCCCACTCCCCAAAGGGGTGGTCGATTGGGGATGATGAGTAACGATTTCCTGGTTTGGGAACTGGCAAAGCGAAAACATCACTCTCTTTTAGAGTTTTAGGGGTTTGGTCCAAGTTTGGCCCTAGTGTTTGATTTGGTATTTTTGGTGTGATGCTCACACCACAGGGCTGGAACACTCACTGATTAAAGACATTTTCGGAATGATATTATGACTAAACGATTTCATTCTAATTCAGAGCATTGCTTTGGAGTTTCGACAGCTGTTATTGGCTCTCCTTTGAAGCATGAAAGCATTTTGTTTTTCAGTGGCTCCGCATTGCTAGATGGGAATTTGCTTCTTTCTTCCCAATCTAAAGGGTAAGTGTCAGTAAGCCTGCAGATTGGGCTGGGGCTCTCATCCGCAGCGTGAGGTCTGAAATGCCTGCGCGTGAGATCCTCCACCAGTGATGCATGCAACCTGAAGAACCTCCCACACCATGTCCACGTGCTTCTCGAGAACTACAAGTGGATGATGAAAAATGTGATTCTTTTTCACTCCACCATCAGTAATTATTTTTATTTTATTATTATTATTATTTTTTTTTTTTTTGGCAGCTGGCTGGGGATCCAACCCCTTGACTTTGGTGTTATAACACCATGCTATAACCAGCCAAGATAACAGGCCATCCCCACCATCAGAAATTAAACTTGGGCCGGCCCGGTGGCGCACTGCTACAGTGCGCCGCTTGAGAGCGCTGTGGCACTCCCGCCGAGGGTTCGGATCCCACATACAGACTGGCCGCTCACTGGCTGAGCGAGGTGCGGGCGCAACACCGAGGGTTGCGATCCCGTTGCCGGTCCCGGTCTGGTCCCGGTCCGGTACGGGCGCGACACTGAGGGTTGCAATCCGTTGCCAGTCATGAAAAAAGACAAAAAGGAAAAAAAAAAAAAAA